TATTTCTTAGGCTGCTGCTAGCCACTTAAGATCAGTGAGATTATTCAGACTGGGGATTCAGTAAGCCCCAGATGCAGAGAGAGTCTGAGATGTGGCCAAGTGTATTAGCTGATGGGGCACCTGCACTGCTTCCAGAAACACATCAGGTCTGCAAAGCCCAGGGCTGTTTTAATGTGGCAGAGCCATTGTAGAGGTCCTGTTGGACCCCACTGCCTCTCTACAGAGCTGAGTCAGCATGACTGCTCCAGGGGCCTGGCACCAGACATGCAGAGATGTGCAGGCAGTGCTGGTTTTGATCCAGTTTCAAAGCTGGTTTGGATCCAGCTGGGAGTTAGCCCCTTCTGGACTGAGCTTCAGCAGATTCTGTATGAGTCCCCCCATGTTCTAGGGTCCAGGAAGGTGTCTGAGCTGGGCGTAGCTGGATTCAAGCACTCTCCAGCTGGTGCCACCAAGCTGCTGGAGGACAGTATGTGGGGCAGGCACCAATGCATATTTGCAGCAGCTGTCTGGGCCAACAAAGGTGGCACAGAACCACAGCTAATAAATCCACCTTGATCAAAAATGTTCCTATTCTGCAGTGACATCGGGCTGCCTCTGCACTGGACTGCCCCAGTGCTCTATGTTTTTCCACAATGAACCTGCAGCAACTTCTATTATCCTGTACAATAGAGACCTACAGCAGCACTACCCTGCCAAGGCGATTTCTCCTACAAACTAGGGGGAGTCTGGAAAGATGCTGTAATAGGAAACACCAGTACTAGAAACAGGTGTTATTTGAGGACAATACTGAGAGATTACTCTATTCTCTCCCCCTGATTCATGTTTATTACCCTAGCAGAGAGACCTGATTCAGCTATTCTAAGCTGATAAATCAGGCTTAGATTTTGCATTGGCCTTCTTCTCATATATTGATTATCAGCAAATACTAAATAATGGTGTGACAGCTGAGACCTGTTGTTATTAGGCAATATCTTCAGTTCAAACTTGAAACCTTGAAAGCTCAAGCTAATACACAACCAGGCAGCAGGGCAGGAAAACGTCAAGGTCTCGTCTGCATAAGGAAGTGCTGTGGTTTATTATATAGTAGCATAATAAACATCTTCTGTAAGGAAGTTAAAGTTACTTATCTTCTCCAAAAACCAGGTTAAAAGGTAACTTCATCTGCCTGGAAGCGCTTGCTTGTAAGAAAATCAGCAAAGTTGTAATAAGACCCAGAAGTTGAAAACTTGAACCAGGCAATGCCAAGTATGAAAACGAGTGTGCATTATTTAGTGGGAAAGAACTGCCACCAGAATAACATTATAGTGCCCTATGGAGTTCAGTCTCCCTGGAAGTATTTTTAATCAAAATTATTTTTTTTTCAGAAAAGATCAACTTTAGTTCAAGCAGGAGTTAATTCAGGGAAGCCTAAGGCTGGTGCTGTGCAGTAGGCCAGGCTACATTGTCTCAACAGCTTCAAATAGCATTATAACCTGTTTATTACCACCTTTACTCTGAAATTTCTAAATCACCTACAACTTTAAAACATCTTCCCCCCAAAGCAAAGATCCTTGTGAGGCAGGTAGGCAGACGCAGCTATGCAGAGTAACTCTGCCAGTTAGTTTTTGTACCTTGGAAAGGCTTTATTCAAAGCACTTGTCACAACCGTGCTGTAGACAAGCTCTGCCTAGAGAGATTGACCAGCACAACTATCACAGAACTACTTGATTATTCAAGAATAATTTTATTTTGGAATACACTGTCAGCACCAGGGAGTTATATTGGCAGAGCTGAGAGAGCTATTCTGGTCAATTCTCCCACGTAGACGTGCCATACATGTGTGATAAGGCTGTAGAATAATCCCCCAGGAGAAGCAATGAACATTTTATTGATTTGGATATTTCAAACTTCTGCAAGACAAAGCAATCTTCTGTGCACTGAATGAGCAGACAAGATGGAATTGAGGACTGGGTTTGAGGACTGCTCCAAATTCTGTGTTTAGTTTAGAGAAGGCATTCTGAACAACACTAGCAAGTGGCAGAGAGGGGAAAAAACTATCTATATCTGGCTCTGATTCTGCCAGAGGCACTGTCATTCTTGCAATGTTAGTGGCAAGAGAGGTCATTTCCTTGAAATTCAAGACAAATGTGTGATGCTGAAGCCACAGATATGTGTAACAGGCCGTGAGGACCTCTAGAACCAACCCAGTGCCCCGCACCTAGCTTATTTGCTTTCTTTTCTTCCCTGACCAGTGCCATTTATGGGAGGAGGGCTGGGCCAGGCACTGGAAGAAGGCAGATGGGAAGGGACAGAGGATAGGAAGCTTGCAATGAGTAAGTGCTAGCTGCACTTCTCCCAGTGGAATTAAAGCACAGCTGAGCTAGAGGGGACAGTAGCTGGTTATTTCGATAGCAGCTTTCCATGCCTGAATGCCAGCTCCTCTGCAGAGTCATGATCTCTTCTGTTTCCATAGCAGGATCTGCAGGTCTGCATCTGCGGGATTTCATGCCCCACATGAGCTCAGGCAAGCACCATGCATGCCAGCACTCCTGGCTGTGCAGGCAGGCAGAGAGGGGAGGTTGGTGAGGTGAGCGGGCAAAACTCACTTGGGGTTGCAAAGGCTCTACCAGGTACCCATCTCAAGGTGTAAGGGTGAGAGAAGGTGCTCAGCATGTACACAGAAGTCTCCATCACCCTGTGTAGCATTTGGGCAATCCAAAGCAAGCACACAGGCACTAACTTTCTCTGTCCAGAGGAAATGTGATTCTTATCAGCATGCAGATGCTGTTTAAAGGGGAAGGGCAGTGAGGAAAGGCAACATCTTTTACTAAACCAACTGATGAAGCTGGGAGAAAAAAAATCAACTGTGACTTCAGAGATTTGAGAAAAGTATGTTATGCCTGAAACATTTTCCAGCCACATCAACTGGTCTAATTAAATGCATCATTTTTGTCCCCACATTTTTCTGTCCTTCACAACTGTAAGAGCACAGACTGCTATGGGGGCCATTAAAGCTTCTGGCCTTGCCTCCAAAATCCTCTTAATTATGTCCCCTGCAAATTGCTGGGCCCCAGGACATTGCAGACCAGACACTTTGCAGCAGTCTCAGCTGAAATAAGGAGTGGGGGATCATACTGACCAATGTTCGACACAGAGCTCACTGCTGCCTCCCCCGCCACATGGAATCTGGCATTAATTTTAATTTATTTCATCCTGTCCAGCAGTTTGAGTTCACAACATGCTAGAGTTTGGTACTGAAAAGGCTCCTTTGTTAGAAAGCACCATTAAGAGAAAGTGGGACATTTTGACATGTGAATATGGGCAGATGAGTCTTTTATACCTGGAATGATGATGTGGAACTGTGGGGTAATTGCTTTAGCATGAGAATGTGTGCAGCTTACCCGAATACTCAGGCTACCTGGTAAGTAGTTAGCACCTGTATAGCTTACAATGTAGCCAGGTAATGCAGAGTTCAGCACAGGCTGCAGCGGAGAGGTTAGTGGCATTGGCAGAGACGTTCTCCTGGTTAGATTTCAAAGTTGTCACAGCAGCAAGGGGAACTAGGCAGCCAACTTCCCTGTGCTAACCTCATGAGCTGTTTGCACTATGTTATCATGCCTACTTCATTTAGGTCGTATCAGGAAGGTTTTATTTACCTTAAAAATGCAAACCTTATTTCTGTACAGAGGGCTTAAGCAGCAGAGCATAGACTTGTGCTTTGTGTGGGCTGTAGACAAAACCTGTGTTAGCAAATCAGTGCATGTCCAACATCCAGATCCCACTTGCTCCAACCAGCATACAAAGGACGCTGACATAAGCCAGCAGAGCAGTGTTGTTCCCAACACTGGGACCACTACTAGTCCCCTCCTGCTGCCCACTGCCCAGCGTGGATGGAGTGCTGGTCACCATTAAGGACCATGAGAGCAGCAGCCCTTCCCCAGTGGCCCCGCAGGGAGCCTCTCACTCCTGGCTGAGTGGGGTGACTGAGGACTGCGCTCAGGGGACTGCTCCTCGCTAAACTGCCCTACTTGCTGGCTGCCCCTGTTGTCCCAAAGTAGATTCTTTCACTCAGTGTGCAAGAGTCCAATTCTCACACAGAGTCGAGGTATTTGATTGATTTCCAGTTCTGCGCAAGAAGGGGTGCTTGGGTGGCAAATCCACAAAGCCAGCACCATCTCTACGAAAACTGTACACTATTTATACATTTTAGCAAACAAAGGCATTGTTTGCTATGGAACAAAGGTAGTTCATTGGCTACAAGGGTTACCAAGTTTTTATTAATTAGCATTCTATCCTCTGTTGGTTAATGCTAATTAGTCTGCATGCTCAGTCTTTCTTTTCATTTGGGTCGGTGAGTCGGTGGTTGCGATCTCCCCCTGCCGGAATTACCTTTTACCCAGTCGGAGCTGATTCAACACAATCTCTGGGCTTTGTTAATATCTTCCTTATCTTGGGGGTTCTGACAAATGTCCTTGTGGCCCGTAAATTCTTCATTCTTTGTGTCCACTATCAGTGGTGCATCCTTCTTCCCAAGCTTTGTTAACCTGCCCCTAGGTCTGATATCACTGAAATACGTCGAGCCCTAAGCCTTAACAAGGCAATTCTACCGACAAGCAATTTGTCTTTCTAACACGTGGACATCACTTGTTCGCTGCTATCTGTTTCACGGTAAATCACCTTTCTTGTCGATTAGGCTTGGTAGTATACAAACAGCAAACATGAAAGAGCATCCTTTCTGAAGAACATTTTTACACACCCCACGTTTCCCAACATCCCCGCTGGCCCGGCCGCGCTGCCCGGGGCGGAGCGGCGGCGGCGGGGGCCGGGCCCGGGCCCTCCCCCGAAATGGCGCGCGGCCGGGGAGGCGCCCGAGCGGCGCCCGCGGGGCTGTGAATAAAGGCGGCGGGCGGGCCGGGTGGCGCTCCTGGAGGCGCGGGCCGGCAGCGGAAGCCGGGCGAGCGGGGCCGGCGGCCAGGAAGAGGGAGGCCGGGCCGCGGCCGGCGGCTCGGCCCGCCATGAGCAAGGCGCAGCGTGACGCGGACGGGGATCACTTGCCGGATGGCCGCTGGGCGGTGGCGCCGCCGACCCGCTGCTGCCGGCGGAGGGCGGCGGGGGCCGACGGGCCGCCCTTCCTGCTGCGGGCGCTGCGCCATCGCCGTGGTGGTCTGCCTCTACTGGTTCACCCTCCATCGCCATGGTCTTCCTCAACAAGATACCTGCTGGACAGCCCCTCGCTGCGCCTCGACGCCCCCCTCTTCGTCACCTTCTTCCAGTGCCCCTTGACGGCCGCCCCTCGTTGCTCGGCCTCAGCTTGGGGGCGGCCTGCGGGCCCCCCTGCTCCGGCCTGCCCACTCTCCGCCTCGACCCTAAGGTGTCCCGCAGCGTCCTGCCCCTCTCCGCCGTCTTCATCGGCATGGTCACCTCCAACAACCTCTGCCTCAAGCACGTCGGCGTGGCCTTCTACAACGTGGGGCGCTCCCTCACCACTGTCTTCAACGTGCTGCTCTCCTACCTGCTCCTCAAGCAGACCACCTCCCTCTACGCCCTCCTGGCCTGCGGAGTCATCATAGGTGAGGGGGAGCAGAAGGGGCTGCACCGATCCTGCAGACAGCCCCAGAGAGACAGAGGTGGAATGTCTTTCCCTTGGAAGTCATCCCCATATGTGTGGCAGCTCCCTGGTGAGGTGGGGTAGCTCAGGGCTCATGCCTTGCTCTGCCTCCGGCAACTTGCTTTGTATGTCTGGAGGATGTGGATAACTCATTAAGAGAGGAAATTACCCTTGACCGTGGCTCCCTTTTTCTTTTGAGCAGTAAAACCTCTCTGGCCCCTAATGATGCTTAACTTACCTTACCTTTTTTCTTTTTCCCCTGTACAGGCCATAAAAAAGCAGGTGGCTTTCTCCCCGTTCCCAAGTGCTTGTTCATTATTAACTTTGGTAACAATAACATTTATGTCAGCACCACTGGGCCCATGCAATGGAGCCAGCCAGTTCAGATAGGCTGAATGCATGTGATGAATGGTTAGCTGATCAAACCAAGCGTAAAACACCACTAGAAGATCTGGTTGTGTGGTTAGGATGTAGGGCTGGGCATTGACTGGCTTAACGGGGATGCTTGCAAGTCTTTAATTCCAAAGGCACTGGGAATGCCAAAAGCTACCTTCCACTGGAGGGTCACTTAGATGCCAAGAATGGTGGAATGTTTATTTCAGTCTGGTTCCAGGTGAACCTGTGTTCACTTTGGTGTTTAGACAAGTAGATGGATTCAGGTGAAAATGAGAGAAATCTCATCTCCATAGAATAGGTGAACAGGAACAGAACTACTCTTTTTTTTTCCACCCAAGTGATGCAAGCAATTGCTTTAGCTAATCTATTGTTTGGATACTGCCCAGGAGTATGGTGTCTGCCAGCCTTACAGAGTTTCTCCAAGGCTCCGTCCCCCTGGCTCTGTCTCCTTTTACTGTGAGAGCATTGACAGTATGCCCAGTATGCCTGGAAGTAGCACAGCTGAGCATCCTCTGTGGTCTGACGCAAAGCCCTTTCTGTCAGTGCATTGAACCCTTTTGTATTTGGGCCTAGATTAAAGCATGTTGGCTACTTTGCAGGTAACTTGCCAGACCAACTCCAACGTGAAGCAGCTTATGAAAACATGGTGCAGTTCTCCTTCAGTAGCTCATCTCCCCTTTTATGTTTTGCGTATGAGCTGCATAAGGAGACACAAAGCCTGTAGCTCCTGTTTTGGAGGTGGTTGAAGAGTTCATTACCCATCAAAGTTTAATATGTTGAAGATACTGCACACAGTTTCTGCCTTGTGATCTTTTCTCAACCGTGGTTCTTAATATTACATCCATGTATTTACTATCTTTCCCTCTTTTCTGACCTTTTCCTTCCTGTTAACAGGAAAGCCTGTGAGGCTTTTTTTTCCCCAAACCTTTCTACCCATGTAGATTTGTGTATTTTTCTACCCAAGTATGAGTTTGCTGTCTTTTCAATTAAAAAATAGTCATACAGTCTCCTGAAAATTACCTATATGCAAAGACTAGCTGGAATAATAGTTTCTGAACTAGTGCTGCCTGCTCAGTGTGGGAATTAGTCCTCTGAGATTGAATTAACCGCACAGTAAATTACTTGCCCTCCTAAAATAAATTTTCCCAGGACACTAGTAGTGAACATTTTTGTGTTCACTTACTAGAAAGGGAAAATCCTTAAGCCTGTCTGTTTGCAATTGTGGTTGTTCAGTATAAAGTAGATGATGAATTTCTATGTTTTGAGCCTTTCAGCAGTTTTTCAGGTGATGCCTGATTTGTTTGGTTGCAGGTGGCTTCTGGCTGGGTGTTGACCAGGAAGGAGCAGAGGGCACACTATCATGGACAGGTATATTCTTTGGGATCCTAGCAAGCCTGTGTGTCTCTCTCAATGCCATCTACACCAAGAAGGTGCTGCCTGTGGTGGATGGTAGCATCTGGCGCCTGACCTTCTACAACAATGTCAATGCCTGTGTCCTGTTCTTCCCTCTCATGATGCTGCTGGGCGAGTTCCGCACGCTCTACCACTTTGACAAACTGGGGAGCCCCAGTTTTTGGGGTGTGATGACCCTGGGGGGAGTGTTTGGCTTTGCCATTGGGTATGTGACTGGACTTCAGATTAAGTTCACTAGCCCACTCACCCACAATGTGTCTGGGACAGCCAAGGCCTGTGCCCAAACAGTGCTGGCTGTTATCTACTTTGAGGAAACAAAGAGCTTCCTGTGGTGGACAAGTAACTTGATGGTTTTGGGGGGTTCCTTTGCCTACACGTGGGTGAAAGGACTGGAGATGAGAAAGGCGCAAGAGGATCCTAATGTCAAAAGCGGCGAAAGAAATGAGACTGGTGTGTAGGCAGCTCCTGCACTTCCATTTCTGTGCCTAGGGGGATAACCTTTGGTGCTCGTTGCCTCCTGGGGAGAAGAAGAGCAGGGATCAGGAAAAAATTCACCTGCAAAGTGTATGGGGAACTGTGTCAGGAACTGTAGCCAAAGACCTGACTGGATCATGTTTTACCATGGGATCTCACCCCTATCAGAGTTGTGGAGAGCATGCGTTATAGAGATCAATTGGGGTTTTTTGTGATTGTTTTTTAAAATGGATGTTGCTATTGACCTAATTGGGGAAATTTGTATCTGTGTGGGGGGGGTGGGTTCCTAGCAGACAAAGACTGGGGTAGGAGCTTTCTGTAGTTAGGGATCTAGAATTAGCTGAATGAATGCAGACTGAAGTTATAAAATCCTGAACCTCAAGGTAAGGAAGAGGCAAGTAGCCAGACTGTTTGGGTTTGACTCCAGTAAACTTCTACTGTAAAAGGTTTTTGCAACAGCTGTTCTTCCTGTTGCCCCATTCAGTGCAGAGGATAGAAATTCCTTCCCTTCTGGCTATGTACAAGTCTAAGCAACAGCAGTGCCTCCAAGTCGTCTTTCCAGCGAGTCAGTATCACATCCTTCTGAGTTTTTTTTCTGTGTTGCCCTACATCTGATATCTCAGTTTGGGGAAGCATACTAAGACTCTGGCATCAAACTTCTTATTACCTCTCCACTGTGTCCCATGAGGGAGAGCAGGCTCGATCCAGTGGACTTTCTCATGGAGGAATGAGCTTGGCCTCTGTGTCTCTCCATGACAGGCAGATGGGGAAAAGTTACTATGAAGTACTTGCTGCCGTAGGGTGGGGATCCCACTTCACAGAGTTCACAACACTTCTCCTCTTTACCCTCTGTGTAGGGGGTAGGTTTGTGTTTGAAAATGGGGTTGTTACTAATTAGGCTTGTTTCAGGAGACTTGTTTCATACATAGTTTGCATCTCCTCTGGTGTTTGCAGTTTGTCTTTTGACTTGTTCCTTTTAAACATCCCCACGGCCAGCTCAGTGAATCTTCAACTCAAAAAAAAAACAAAGGTTTGCTCAATTGCATCGATCCCTTTGCTTGGAACTTGCTGCTGAACAGTTAGTTCTGCAGAAATCTCTGCCCCTGACATCTGGTCCTGTGCAATACTCTGCTGCGATTTCCGATCCCAGGGGTCAACAGCAACACCCTGTTGTGAGCTGTGATGTTGCACCAGCTTTCTGAATCCCTGGCCCCTTTAAACATAAGGAGTTATTTGGATAGTGATCCTGGGCAATCCATGCCATTGCTTCGTACCCTGCCCCATGGACACTACACGATGTACTGTGCCCCGTGAGTGATGTCTAGCCTCGCCTACAGAAAAACACTCCATTTCTGCCCGGAATATGTTCCTGTTTAATTTGGGAATGTGCCAGGTTTCATGACCACAGGTACCTTTTTATGTAGGCAGCCATTGAGGGTCCTTGAAATATTTTTATTTTATTTTTAATGTTGCTCGTACGGCACGGCGGCCGATCCTGCTGAAGGAAGTCGGGGGCTGGCCTCCCGGGCTCCGCTAGGGGTGGGATCTCCCTTGCGGGTGGTCGCGGCCGCTGGCGGGCAGCAGAGCGCCCCGGGTCCCGCGCCCGCCCGCCCAGCGCCCGCTGATTGGCTGTTCGCTGGCGCGCCGCCAATCACTCGGCGGGCGGGGCGGGGGCGGGCGGCGCGCGGAGGGCCGCGGCGCGGGAGTAGGCGGCGGCGCGATGGCGGCCTGCCGCCGCTGGGCCCCGCGCCGCCCTGCCTGCCGCTCCGTGCACTGGTTCACGCGCGGGCTTGCGGGCTCCACGACAAACCCGGCGCTGCAGGAAGCGCTGCGGGACGCCACGTCCCTCCGCCCTGCATCTATATCCTGCGACCCCTGGTTCGCCGCCTCCTCCGCCGTGTGGCATCAACCGCTTTGGCGAGTGAGCTGGCGCCGGGCCTGCGGGCGGACGAGCGGGCGGGAAGCGGCGCGGACCCGGCGGCGCGGGATGCGGGTCCCGCGGCACCGGGGCTTCTAGGGCGCGGGTGGGCCGTGTCGATCGTCAGGCGCATCAGCTGGCGGAGCCAGCACCTGCTGCCCTGCCTGTCCCGGCCCACGCACCGCTCCGCCGCCCTCTCTGCAGGAGAGCGGCTGTGCCGTGCCCACTCGGCCTCGCCGCGATGTTCTCAGCGGTGCTGCCTGACTCTGTAGGAGGATGCCTTCAACTTTACGTAATGTCATTAGACCTTCTCCTTACCAGCTGGGCGAATGTATGAGAGCAGCGACCCATGGGCATTTAGCTTTGGGGGACGCTGTTCCCTGGATTTAGAAACAAGCGCAAAGAATCCTTAGCGCTGCGTGGCCTCTCCAGGCCTTCCCTCTGCCCTATGGCTGCTGGGCACGCGTAGGCATGTGCGCACGCAGCTGCGTTCCTTCCACCCCACAAATTTCTATGGAAATACATATCGGCTGCTGCTAAGAAGGTAGAGAGGAAGATATGTGTGGGCTTTTTCCCACTGTCTGCAAATGGAAAAATGTACGGCATGAGTCGCGTGTGCAGAGAACAAGACCTCATGTACCTGTAGCCAGTAACATTACATAACGCTATTGTCTCAGGTCTCAGCTGCCTAAACATTTGGAAACCCAATCCAGGTAGAGATTCTCCTCGGCAAGACTCCCCTGAATACAAATGAGGCAGATCTGCCCTCACACTACCCCGGGACAACCACCTGGCTAAAGATCCCTTGAGAGCCCTTTGAAATGTGGCTGTGCACTATGAAAACTGTAGTAACTGATTGACTCTGCTGTGCACCTTAGCTTCATCTCAAGGAATGGGATTATATGAGTGATACCTGTGCATTTCTAAAACCCCACATGAGAGGATGGCTTAAAATTCTAAATGTGCGTACATTACCTCAATGTACGCATTCAAATTACAGAAAATTGTGGATTCTGTTACAGATAAGTGTTGTAGGAGCCTGAAGTGGTCTTTCAGTAGACCAGACATTCTGCAGGCAGCAGAAATGCCTTTCACGTGCTGCTGTTGTTGCTGACTGTCCCCATTTGGAAGAACCAAAGCACTGCCACAACAGATTAGTTCCTGATCTGTTTAATCCTTGTTTGTTTCTACCAGCATTGTGGAGGAAGGGAAGCAGTTAGTGGTCTTCTTTATGTTGTAGTCGTGGAATATATGAGCAAGTGAAATTTTTAGAATAATGTTTTCTTGGAGGTGTGTGCCTACTGCAGATGTCAGAAACTAGCACCTCTGGCTGTTGGGGAAAAATGTATTAGCAAGTTACTTATGTTGAACAAAGTTCAAAAAAGATGGCATGTGAAAGGTGGAGAAAAGTGTGGACAGGTGTCAGTAAACACCCAAGGGTACTATACTAACTAATTAGAGAACAAGAGTTTATAACCAGAGGTTGAAGTGAAAGTTTGGTTGGTTCCCATTGGGAGACTTGGTTTTGTTTTGCTAATTTTTTTTTAATGCAAATACTTGTATTCAGAGTTCTGTTCTCCAAAGGCAAAGGTTTGCGTTTTACCTAGTTCTCACAAATTTATCATCTTGAAAATTACTTGTTAACTGCACAGCATGTGTGAGCCATATAGGAATAATGCTTGATAAATTTTTAGAACACCTGGGAAAGTTGACATTCCTATTTAATAGATGGAATGTGGGCTAGGGGAGTGGTTTGTTTACCTGGACCTGGTTCTAGATGTTCTGCTTTTTGATAGAGGGCCCCTCTTTCCATGAACTCCCCATCTTTTTCTCCCTTGGGATGTGCAGAGGGAGCTTGTTCTATGTGGTAAGCTCAGTTCACACTATGGGCAGTGCAGCTGAGGAGAGAGGAAACCCCCACTTAATTGTAGCTTAGCTTTCTTAGCTGTGTGTGGTCTTAAGGGAGCTGCTGCTGATACTCCTGTCTCACAGATCATGCTGCAGAGTGATTGTGTAGGTGGGGAGGACCTGTGTGACTGGGAAAGCAAAGATGATAACCTTTAATATTTTATACTTTAGTGAGGGATCAGTCGTTACCTGCAGAAAGCACTTACATGGGTCTTTAGATTTTTGGGGTGAGAGGGAATAGATGAATGCCTTGGTATGCTCTCATCTATGTGTCTTCATGGTGGAAGACGAATTGCAGTTCTCTTTGCAACTATTTTAAATACAGATAATTCTTGCCTCAGGAGATCCTGGTGCTCAGTCTTGTGCTACTGATGAGCTAGGAGAGTACATTTCTCTGCTGTGACATGGTGTATTTGTAGCCAGAACTGTAAAACTTGCACAGTTCTTGCAGTATTTCATTACATTCCTTGGAGTAGTGCATCGATATTTTTCTACTTCATGTGCAAAATCACTCCTTGCCCCTAAATCTATGAAAGAATATACAGTAGGGAATTATATGGTTTATGATTTTCTACGTCTCGTAATGTGGAGAGAGCATCTGACAGGAGTGTTCTCCCAGCGCTGAAGGAGAACATGGGAAGGGGATTTCAGGAAGAAGAAAATTCTGGAAGCCTCTTGCATCTGAACAAGGTGGCTGGTGCTGCAATCTTATAGCAGTTGTTAGACCAGGGATCAATATGAATTCTTGTTTTTGGTTTCTAGTCCGAATTCCAGTTGAATTTGGTGATGCAGGTTTGCTGGAGTTCCATGCAAGTTCTCGTTTGCCTTTTAGCTGTAACCAGTCTGACTGACACTAACTGCTGTTGTTTCTTCTCTGCAGATTTCTACTCCAGTCCCTGGAAGATCTGGACAACAGTTTAAGGAAACTGAACTCTCGCTTGTTTGTTGTCCGAGGGCAGCCAACAGATGTCTTCCCAAGACTCTTTAAAGTAAGAGAATAATTTTTTGGAGCATAGTGAAGAAAAATTGATGGCCTGGTGCTAAACTTGTTTTCACTCACTAATGATTGGAGATTCCTTTGGCATCTCTTTAGCTATAACTAATTCTTCACTGAAACAAACTTTTGTCTTTAACTACTCCTAACTACTATCCATAAGGGCCAGCTTGGGAGCCAGATCCACTCCTGAACTCAGACTGGCAAAGAAATTTAGTAGTAGGGTGTAACCTAGTATCAGGGTGCTCAGGCTTCTCTTTTGGATGGTGGTCTTGACCTTCATTACTATAAGTCACCTCTCACATGGCTGCACTGTAACATACTGACTCTCTTGTGTTGAGAGCTTTTTCTCTGCTGGTCATTTGCTTCCTACAGTTTTTACTTGGGAAGACTGCTGTGTCCATACACCTTTACGGACAACTGGAAAAGCACATTGATCTTTATGAATTGCAAACAGGACTTTGTGTTAAAATTTCAAAATTCAGAAGCTGTTATGTTAGCTGACCTTCCTTTTCTTCTTCTTTTCAAGGATGCACTTCAGTCAGCTCAGCAGCAGAATATGGTTTGGGTCCAAGCTTCTTGCTGATGTACCATTTAGGATGTGGAATATGCAGTTACCTTGATGGTCAATGGTGGATTAGGGGGATACATTTCTAAAGTGTTATGTCAGTGCTGCAGATGTCAGGGCTGACAAGAGCATCTCCTTGAATATCAAGGCTCCTCAAGCAGTATCATTCTTCTCTATCCTGCTCTAAGATTGTATTTCCAATGTCTTTGAAGCTTTCTGACAGCGTCTTTGCTAGAGTGTCAAAACTAAATGAAAAAACACGGTTCCCAGTACTCTTAAGAGTTGGGTTTGTCATGTGGACTGTGCTTTACATATGGTTGACAGAACTAGTGTCCCCAGAGCCTATTATAGACCAGCTGCTGAGAAGGAGAGGTAAACTTGAATCTGTACTGTACTGAATCTGCAGTAAATGGTTCTGATGTGTATTTTCTGGAGGAGGGCAGTACTGGAGAGGGGAATTGCACTATGCAGGTGAGAAGGTGCACTGATACTTATTTTGGCTTCTGCATCTTAATACATGACACAAACTATGTGCTGCTTTTAGTCTTTTCAGAGTCTGGGTTACTTTTATCTTTTGATCTGCAAATAAGTTCTGGCTATTAGTAGTTCATGACCTCTTTATTTTAGTTCAAGGTATTCATGGGATAATTAAAACTTTGTTGGAGAAAAACGCTTGCTTTGGTTAAAGAACAAAAAGTAGTTGGCAGAGTCTGAGGTTTGGAGAGATGGTTGTGAAGTCACCCAGACCTGCCTTTTGCTGTAGTCTGTTTTGTCTGGGGAGGTGAGTTGATGAGTATCTCAGGTGTGCTGTAACAGAGCTGAAAAAAACAGAGGCAAGTTTATGCTATTACATGGTAAATCTATGGCTTCCATGGGGATTCAGGCGTCTGCAGAGCTGCTGCACTGAACAGTGAATTAGCAGCAGCTCATGCCTTGCTGTCAGCTGTTGTGGAAGGAGAGTTATGTCACATGTGGTAATACAGCACTTAGACCTAATATAATTTCTGCTCCTGCTGCCAGTAGCTGAGTTACCTTGTTGCTAACAGTCGCTGCTAAGGCACTATTGTGCATGGATATTGTGAGAAGTGTACTTGTTAGCAATGTGTTAACCTTTGCAGAAGATTTTTTGTCTCACTCTATCTGAACAAATGTGTGTAATTTGTGTGTTGTTTGTTCACTGAAGTTTGCTCACAATCCTTTGGTGTCTTTTGCCCCTACAGTTTTTCTTTGCTATAGGATAGATAAAAGAGAGAAGTTATTAGTCATGCCTTTTCTTTTGTATATCTGCAGCAATTTACTGTCATACAGCTAACGAGTTTTCTGGTTGGTTGTGCTCTGCTTCCTATGTACTACTGTATCCCATAGAGCAGTGGCCTTCTCAAAACTGTAGGAATACATGAATTTAAAGTTTTGGATGTTTACCTAAAATTTCTGTTAGCCTTACATGTTTTTTTTTTATTCCATTCCACTCTTTCAAGGCAGTAATACGTATTTCTTCAAGACTAAATCCATCTTTTTCAAGCCTTCCAGCTAATACTGTTTTTCTTATAAAAGAAAAGTTTAAAATGAAGCTGATAAATCACATAGGAGCAGGGCAGGGCCTGGAACATGTCAGTCTGACCCCTGCTCTGAGTTAGGGTGCTGTCACGTTCTTACTTGGAAAAATAAGTGGAGGACCTCTCCAAGATGTACATTCAGTGATACATAACTGGTTTATTTCTCTGTCCTTCCTAAAATTAGGTTTAGGACTGGATCAGCAAGTTTAGAAAAGAATGGGACTTGTGCAGTTGTTTTCTGCTTCTGAATTCCCTTCCCCATCTTTGGCATTATTTTTAATGGTCTTTAGTAAACTAGCCACTTGTTCTTTTGCTTTGTTTCTGTTTTGGAGGTGGAAAAGTCTCCTGTATATACAGAGCTGACTTAGACTGTCTCACTTGGAGAATGTGGTTCCTATGTTAGCTGTGTGAGGGTTGTTTTAAGTGTCTGTAGATTTCTGGCTGTCTTTGACTAAAGTGTTTGCTAAACAAATCTGTGGGCTGCTGCTCTGCTTGATGGATGTCTTGGGAGGGTCGCTGTGGAAACCGTGAAACCTTTTCTCATAGGATTCATTTTCTGAGGAAAACTAGGCCATAGACTTGGAGAACAATCTGTGCTCTAGAAAAGCCTGGAAGAGGCTGAATGCTATTTCATAAGGCCTATTCCATGTAATTTGTCAGGGATCTATTAATGGTATGAAGAGCAGAACAGGTGCATGGCTTGACTAGGGTAAACTTCAGGGATTGCAACTATGTGATCTTTAAGGTTGCTTCCAACCCAAACCATCCTATGATTCTACAATTCTAAAATAACTCCCAAAAGGTGGGACTTTACCTTAAATCTGAATCACAGTATCATACTCTACTGTGCAGACCATAAAGGTTCACTCAGTTGCCATCCTATGTCCTGCATTTCCTACAACCTGTTTCTTGCGCTTTGGGTTGGATACTGATTCCCCAAGATGTCATGTCTTTAAAGAGACATTGGGAAAATTTTAGAATGTATTGGTTTTACTTAATGATAGTTTCTACATAAAAATACAGGGTTTTGAGTGGAACATGTCTTGAAAGAGTTGTCTGAAATGCGTTCTCTGCAAATGCTGGAATAGAATGGTAGGGTTACTTTGGGATAGCATATGCAACAAAACAAGGTGTTCCTAGGCTTGGGGACTGAGCTGAGACCTAAGTGATAATAGAGGAGAACTCAACCTCCTCTGACATGTTAAACCTGACATTTGCAAATTTGCATAGCAGATGTGGTGTTTGCTAGAGCTGATAAAATTGTTGAGTCTTTGGTTATCTCAAATCCAGACTGCTGCTCCTCACAGTAACACACTCTAAGCTTCCAGGACTTAACACTGTTCAGGAATTCTGAAATCCATGTTTGTAATTGTGCTTATTAGGAAGGGTCTTCTGTTTGACAGCTGGGTGTATTGTGCTTTTTGCAGGAATGGGGAGTCACTCGTCTCACCTTTGAATACGACTCGGAGCCGTTTGGAAAGGAGAGGGATGCAGCTATCATCAAACTGGCCAAGGAGGCTGGCGTGGAGGTGGTGATAGAGAACTCCCACACCCTCTACGACTTGGACAGGTATGGGGAGAGCAAGGGCAGAGGTGCTGTCTGGGCTAGGCTGGGATTGTCGTGTCTGGGAAGACTTCAGTCTCCTCCATTACACTGATCACTGTCATCCTGTGTGAGCCTAGAAGGATTACTCTCTGCACTCGCACTTTTGATTAGAACACGTCAAAGTGCTCACAGTGACGTGAATGTACAGACAGGTGTTGCCTCAAGCTTATTAAACTCTGCACTTGACCGTCATTTAATTTGCTCAGCTGTGTCCGATTGATTGCTCTCCTTGAACATGTCCTCACTGTATGGACTGCTTTCTTTTGCTTCATTGTAATAAAGATAGTTGACCTGTTGTCTCAAACAGGCTATGAAGGCAGGGCTTTTATTTCATGGATGTGCCAGGACTACTGGAAGAAGTAAAATAAGGTAGATTGGAACAAACTTACCTTATTCTAAAACCTGAATGCCTTGTCTTTGTTGTGAAGGAGCTTTGTTTTGATGTTGAGTTTTGTATATTTACTTATTATATCTCTCTCTATATATGTGATTTTAAGCGGTGGAGACAGTCTTTCAGTTAAGACTGAGGTGTGCTTGATTTCAAGGATGTACTATTCTTACAGGTTACCTACTTTTTTTTCTTTTCCTTCTTTTTTTAAACTTTTTTTTTATTAGACTTGTGCCAGTAATGCTGAATTTGGATTTTCTCCTATAAATCTTTAACATCCATAACTTCCCATGGGAAGGAGCTTTGCAGTTAGCATATGCCTTGTGGGAATGTTTGTCTTTCGAGCGAGGGGTATTCTTCTTAAACCTGTTTCATGAGCAGATACTGCTTTCTAATTTTTATTTACCAGTGTTTATTACATCCTCACCCCTTCAATGTCAATGGGCCTCACATTCTTCCTCATGTCCTCTTTGTGTTTTCCAAGATGGAGAGTCCTAGTTTTAAGTTTTCAGGTGGAATCTGTTCTATATCTCATAAGCTTTGTCACCTTTCTTTGTACTTCTGGGTATTTCTAGAGATGGAGAGCAGTGGTGAAAACTGTAACTAGTGTGCAAAATATAGGAGCAACATGGATTTTTAGAGTGCTGTGATGTTTCCTGTCTTCTTCTAATAGTCCTTCTCCTAATAGTAGCATTATTTTTGCTTTTTCTGAGTGCTGTAAACACTGAACTGATGTCTTGGGGCTTTCTTCCAGAATGGTCATAGCTATTTGAGGGGCTGCAACTGTATAAATAAGTTCAGGATTGCATAGCTATGCATATAGAGAAACAACATGACCAAAACTGCATTTCATCTGGTATTTTTGTCAGCTGGTCGTGTGGTTTGTAGGGAAGTTTTTAAGTTGCCTTTTACCTTTTGCTATCCCAGATAGCTTATTGCATTAGTAAGCTTTATCATCATGTTCTTTTTTGTCCCTTCCCAGATATTTTTTAAAAAATTTTGAGCAGCACAAGCCCTAGCTCATCCCTGTGTAGTATTTCTCTTCCTGTTGGAAAAATGGATTCCTGCTTTATCCTGTATCTCAATTTTCTGTCTGCATGGACTTTTTCCTTTATCCTGAATCACTGTGGTTTCTTAAAAATGTTTCAGTGAGGGATCTAGTCAGATGGCTTTTCAAAATCCACGTAGGATATTTCAACTGAATCTCCCTTGCCTCAAGCTCAAATGTCACTAATAGATTTTTAGGCACAACTTCCCTTTACCAAGTCCAAATTAACCCCCCAGCATATTGCATATACCCATGCATTCACTGTTTCCATTAGTATTTCCTACCCATCTGCCTAATGCTCATAGCAGACTCTATTCATTCCTCCCTCTGATGCCCCTGAAACACTTTTAAAATCTGGAGCTGTATTTGCTTTTTTTCCCCCTTGCAGTATTTGGACAGTGTTATGGTACATTCAGCAGCTATCAGTTCGTGTATTTCATGATGCCCTTTACAGTTCCCAGGTGAATATTTGCTGGTCCAGGCAAGCTTTTGCTGTTCAAGCATAATTTGTTTTGTGGCAGTGATCTCCCAGTCTGTGATCACATCTGATACATGTCCTTTAAAAAAATCAAGATTCGTAACCTTTGTAGATACCTCCATAGTGAATACACTTGCAAAAATAAATGCAGAGGGGTTTGCTGTGCTGTTACAGTCTCTGCTTTTTTTAATGACTTGATCACCTCTTGGCTCCATAAATATCCTGGAGTGTCTGTAAAGGGCATTTTTTTAATTTTTTTTTTTTTTTTACTATTTAAGCTTTTTTCAAAAGGTTTTTCAAACTTTCATTTGGGTTGGAAGGTGCAAAGGAGGCTGTGGTTTTTAATTTAACCTACCAGGTTGATGGGTTTCTATCTTTATCTTCATTTTTCTGAAGGATTCTGCCTTCTATTGTCTTTGCTGATGTTATTCTTTAATTGCTTTGACTCCTGTGATCTTTCTGAAATGTTTTTTCATGGTTTGTGTGCAATTGTTGAATTTTTTTCCCCCAAAATCATTACCTCTCAGTGATCTGCATCTCAGCTTGTTCTTTTTGCTTAGCACACTTTCTTACTTTTTTAAATGCGTTTCCCTTATTGAAAGCAAAGTCATTATGGTATTGTTGCTCCTGGAAAGTTGTTCAATTGATGCATGCCAAGGTCACAGTTAGTGCAGGCAAGTGATAACTAACATTTCAGCTATACCTTTGCACAGCCTAAGACCAAATAATGAATTGCCTCTCCTTGTGGGTTCTTCATTAGCTGTTCCATGGAGAAGTCCTTTATGGCAACTAGAAAATGGGGTTTTGGCAGCTGATGGGGTGTGGCAGCTACCCAGTCTGTGTGGACACAGTTGAAGTCTCCAGTTACGCTGACATTTCTTCCTTCTTGGCATCTCTGAGATTTCTCAGCAGATGGTAATACAGTTCTGATACTGTATTTCTCCTGGAAGCCTCATAGTGTATCACCCTCCAGCTGTGTTACCATCTTCTAAGTCACAGTATGTGTTCTTCCTCTGCTCACCCTAATGTTTTTCCTGCATAGTTAGCTGGCAGTAATAGTACCTGGTAGTAGCATCCTACTTCTCATCTTTCTTTAATCAGATTTCCAACAAGATTGTTAGCCTGGTTTTAAGCAATTTAGACTAATCTTCCACAGCTACATATGTGATTCCAGCAGTTCTCCCCTTGCCCTTCCCGGACACGGTGCCTGGCCAGGGAGGCAGCAGGCAGGGCTACAGCACTTTGGGACCACCTCCAGCAGCTCCTTTTAAACATTTACCAAGAACCTGTGCAGTTAACTTCTGAATTTGACCAGTTGTACCCAGTGGGAAGATTGCAATGTGCCCCTTGTTGGCACTGCCAGCATAGCTGTGTGATTATCAGAGCATCTTTCCCCTGCTCTCCCCAGAACAAAGAGAGTGCTATAGAAACTCAATATCAGTGCTGGAGAATACTCCTGAGAAAATCTGGGAATTCCCAGTCAAGATTAGCGATGCTCAGGTTGTAGAAGTTAGACAGAAAAGATAATCTCTTGGATGTTATCCTAGCCTGCTCGAAGTCTTTACTTGGCAGTTATTCTGTCTGACAGCTTCCAGCTGACAGGTTGTTTTGTCTCTTCTCTGGATCTGCCTATTTTCTCCTTAGGATCTAAATCCTTTGTAGTGTGATCACTGATGGTCAGCACTGTGGTTTCCATAATCCCAGGCAGGCCTGGGTTATTCTGAGGGAGTGGTTTAGGTCAGAAAAGAACATTGTGATCTTGTATGTTTGTAGCACGCATCCAGAAGCAGCTTTTCCTCAAATGCCCTAGCCTAAGGCTGAAATGTTAGTTAAACATGTTTTAATAGAAGCACATCCTAACCAAGCACTGGAGAAGCGTGCACGCCTTGGTGGTTCTGCAGTTCAGTACTCTATTGTAAAAAGATGGGTTATTTCCATCTGAGAAGTTCAAGTCAAACTTGTGCCTGCCAGATCTTGTTATCCTCTCCTATCTTGCATGATACTCTGGTGTCAGGTGTTTTCCCCCAGTACAGATACCCAACCTTTCATCAAGTCACATCTTCATCTTTCATCTGCTCAGTATGTGTCTGCAGAAGTTGAATTGTTTGTACTTTGTTCAGCATCTGTTGGATGGATGTATCTGTTGCTTATCTCTCCATATCTTCTTTGAATCTGTAGAAATACCCCTTGTCTTATGTACACGTAGCCCTACGTGAGCTCTCTGGAGCAGGGAATTAGATCAGAGCAATTGCATAAGCTGGCAAGGCTAACTAAATGGTCCGCGTGAATTGGTAGTGGGGTGCGCTGAGCAGCCTGCTTGCCGAGTGCTGGCAGCCAGCTCTTCCTCATGCAAGGAAGCAGGGGGAGTATATTCAGTCTCTTGCCAGAACCTGGCCCTGTTATTTGTAAGTGAGCTGAGGTTTCAGGTTTCTGAGGCAAGCAGTTTTCCCTGTGCCCTTAGCCATCCTGCTGTGGCACCTCTGTGGAGGTGCAAGTCAGAAGCTGATACCTGTGAGGGTGTGCATTCTAGTCTGCAGACAGTCTGCTGTCACAGGTAGGACTGTAGGATACCTTATAATCATAGCAGTGCTGGAACTGTGGTTGCTCAGGTTTTGGTTGCCTGCTTTCTTGAGTTAAAGTGTGACTGTGTGACTGACGGTGAAAAAGACCTTCATAACTTCTGGTACCAAGGTACTACTGTCAGGTAGTGCTGGGCAGTATAGTGCTAGTTTGGTAGCACAGCCATTTCGTGTGCTCACTAACTAAGGTTAGGTTCTGTGTGACCAATACAGTGATTCTGCTCTTCTCTGTTCCACTTCAAAAAAACTAAAAAAAATTGCCACATGCTGTCTGTGGGTTGCGCTGGGGGAGATGGATGAAATGGGAGTATTAAATCCTGGGAAGGGATCTCCCTTTTTTTCTCACCGGTGAAAGTTATATGTGAGGTTATATGGGCTGGATTAGGACAGTGTGAGGAAGGAAAGGCCTCCTGCTTGAGGAGCTTCCTGTATAAATCTTTGTACAGAAGGCTGAACAGCACTACAATACCCAGTATGTGTGGTATAATAATCCAGTATTGTGCAATACCAAATATTCAATACTGCTTTTCATGGCAGTATTGTGAGAGGTACAGGTTTTGTGCATCGTGCCAGTGAAATGTGCAACTTGTCCTAGTCCTATTTGGAAGATTTGTGTCCCAGATCCAGTAACACTGTTTAGGAATTCAGGAGCTGTACTAGGTAACTTCACTCATATTCGCTATCTTGATGATGTTACATACAGACACTGGCATCCTGCTAGTCACAGTGATTTTCTCCAAGTAGCTAGCTGACCACAAAAGTTTAAACTGTGGATCTAGGATGTGGTGTGGTGGTCTGAATCTCGGATTGAGCTGCAGCCTCAGCAGATCTGTGGAAGAGGACTGAAAACAGAGGCATTGTGAAAGAAGTAGCTTCCCTGCCCCCATCCCAAGCACCTCAGGGCAGACACAGTTCAGCTTTGTCACCTTTTCCAAGCTCCGAATTCCTATGGAAACAAGTGAGCCTCTCTAGAATGCTGTAACTGGAAATGCTTCACTTCTCTTCCAGTGACAACACTGATTTTCTGGGGATCTTTGGCTGGTCCTGTTTGGCAGCTCCAGGACTCAAAGCAAGCCACAGAGAAGATAGTGGTGGGTAGTATTCATGAGAGTTGTTATTTCTTGCCATCTCTGGGGTGTTAAACGGAGACAGCCAAAAAGTGCATATGGGAAAGCAGAGGAGATGCACTCTGGTGTAGTGATGTAGGACAGGATGTGTTGGGTGCAAGGCAAATACAAACAAATACACCAGCCAGGACGGGGCAGAGTGCTGTGGGCACTAAAATTGTACAGTGCTTTGTACTCTTTGCACATCCCGATAGCCCTCCCTCCCTCCCACCCTCCATGCCCTGTTCGTTAGAGTCTTTTATCTTCTCCCAGTGTTTACAACTTGAAAGCAGAAACACGGGAGGAAACTACAGGTGGCTTCATTTTTAATCTCTGCCACTGTGCTGCCTGTGGGGAAGCTCCCCTTCCCTCGGTGTGCTCTCCTGCGGGGTCACCGAGGCGCACACGTGCGGGACCGCCCGCGGCCGGCGTGTCGCTCCGCCCCGCTACACGTGCGGCGGCGGGGGAAGGGACGGCACATGGCGACCGCCGGAACACTCGGCGTTAAGCCTGGCCCCTTGCATAAGCTGTTGATTGTAATGGGTGGGGAAAGCTGCTGTGCTTCAGCTCCTGTGTGAGCTGTGAGGTTGGCTGCCTCAGCTTTATGTAATGCTGGTGATCCCTGTACTGTCTGCTTTGCTGTTAACTCCTTCCTCTCCCTGCAGGAGAGGGGTTAAAAATGGCATCTTTCAGCCTGGGGAAGCTTGCCTTGCCCGGGGAAGCTTACCTTGCCCAGAGGACTTCTCAAAGCTCTCTGTCCCAGGAAAAAATAAACTGCATGGCCCCAGCAGGCTGTGGTTGCTTAGTGAAGTAGAGGAATGAGGAACCGTGACTTTCTCTTTCTGTAGCATGATCTGACATAGGTGAATAGCGTGACATGGGGCTGCTGTGACCTTATGGCATGGGGGAGGATGGTGATTTCCCTAATCACAGGGAGAGAGGAATGATGCAAACTGGGATTTGCCTCATCTGAGATAGGTGGAGGAGGGGTCACTAATGGGCTAGGTCCTCCGTGTCAGACAAGGAGGAAGTAAGGTCAGAATCAGGTTAGGATATCACAAGGTGTCAGGGGAATAGATGCAGGTCCAGGATTTGCCATCTTGGGGAAACAGAAAGGCAGTAATCAAATTGAGATTTCATACAGGGGTCTGATTAGGAGCTCTGGGAGAGAGGTATGGTGCAAAGTCTGAATTCAGCTGGAGCTGTTTTGAGGTTTTTTCCTATGGAGACGAGTAAGTATGTGCAGTGTTTTGTTTTCTGATGTATTTTGGGATCTTGTTTGTTTGGTTTTAGTATCCCTTTGAAGAATGCATCAAGTGAAAGGTAGGTCTATAAGGATTTTTGTATCCAAAGTAAAAGGCTATCCTGAACGGAGATAGCAGGGTACAGTTTGCATGTCATTTACTTGTGTATTCTGTGTTAGTGAGGCTGTGTTGTTTCACCCTGCTTATTTTATCTCCAGAATAATTGAGCTGAATGGCCACAAGCCACCACTCACCTACAAGCGCTTCCAGGCCATCATTAGCCGTATGGAGCTCCCAAAGAAGCCAGTGAGCACTGTAATAAGTCAGCAGATGGAGACGTGTAAAGTGGACATCCAGGAAAACCATGATGATGTTTATGGGGTCCCATCGCTGGAAGAGCTGGGTATGTGTCAAGAGCGAAGGCAAGGATTAACTGCCAGCTGAAACAGGATCTACTGAAGCTGTTTCCGATGGCTAACACATGTTCTCACCTAACATGGGCTACCTCTAGCCATAGAAGCAGGCTAATGTTTTTAGTGAGTGCTGGACCTTGTGGTGTCCCTTGCACTGCTGTCGATGCCCAGCATCCCTCTTAGCATTGCTCTGAAGTGCTCTGCATCTGTCCTTATGTTCTCTGCTATACTGAGCATGTAACCACTGTATCAGTATCTCATGTCCTCACCAGCTGCTTTCCTCCTACTGCCATCTCAGACACATTGTGTAACAGACCTGAAGAGGTAAACTATGTAACAGGCTTAGATAATTTCATTCACTTATTGCCAAGCAGCACCAATTTGGGAGCTTAGCAAGACAAAAAATATTACAGAAGCTTCTTTCACTCTTCCTGCTATGCCTTATGGTCCTGTGTTTTCCTTGAAGAAGCAGAATGAATGGCTGAGGCAGGAGGAATGCAACACCTACAGGGAATTGAATCTAAATGCACGGGAAGAAGGGATTAATGCAGAATATTTTCTGTGACTGGAGGCTCCATACCAGCTATATAGGAAGTATCACTTTGTACCTTAAGGTGCAATTTCAACAGGCGTTGTAGAAGTGTGGGGCTTCACAACAGGAGTATCTTCAGAGCCACAGTCCTGCATTGATCCACTTGCTTTATTGCCTGGCCCAATGTGAAACTGCCTGTAACCTTACACTGCTCTGCTTGCTGCCAGGGGAAGCTCCTCTGTCAGCTCAGAGCAGTGCAGGGAGACTGCATTATTGCTTCACTCATTGCAGCAGTTCTCTAGCACTAATCCAGTGCCTTCCCCAGCACAAGCTTTCAGCAGAATAGGAGCCTCACTAGGAGCAGCCAGGCTATCTAGTGAGCTGCAGATGTCAACGGCAAGGTATTTTGTGAGGCAGAGTTGTGGAGCAGATGTTCCATTGCCAGCTACTCTGGCCTTTGAAGCAGAGCCCTATGGGTAGTACTGACACACCAGAGAGACTGCTGGCAGTGAACAACGGGGGAAGTCACAATAAGGCTGCCAGAAGTACTGCAGGGAGAGGCCCTTGTAGTGCAGTGTCATGAGCAGGTGCTCCCCATGTTCCACATGATTTGCCTGCTGTACAAGGATTAGAGCAGCAAGTAAGCCATGTTAGTCAACTGTAATATGTAGTGTCTTGCTGTTATTAATGCTTCATCCAATATCTATACTCTTTGTCTAGGCGTGGCTTCAAATCTTACAAAGTTCTTTCTCTCAGGCTTTCCTACAGATGGTCTTGCCCCTGCAGTTTGGCAAGGAGGAGAGACGGAAGCTTTGGCGCGACTGGATAAACACTTGGAAAGAAAGGTAGCCCCTGTTATTTAAGTGGCGATTCCTGCAGACTGTGCCTCCAAATGAAAAATGTAGAGGGTTACCCATTACTCTGTTCCCTGCTCTTCCTAGCAGTGGTCATAGCGTTCACCTCTGGAAAGGAGTGTTTGGTATTTTTGGAGTACATCTGTGATCTTGGTTTGTGTGTGGAGCAGGGAGCTCCTGGGCTTCCTCAGACCCAAAGAATTAGAGCTGTATATCATTAATGCTGCTGTTTGAAGCAGAGAGGATTCTTTTCCTTGTTTCTACCTCTCAGTTTCCTTTAGAGGAGTGCAAACTTGGAAACTCTCCTGTAAGTTGTTCAGTCCCTGCTACACACTGCACACCATCTCTTTTTATCTTTAGTTGAGGTATTAGTGCGAGTACATGCTTAAAAAAGAATGCCTTCCCCTTCAGCCTTCTAATAGGTTGTCTCACTGACTGGCATTCCTTGAGCCCCTTGCTGAAATAATCAAATTTTTTTCAATATGTTCTTGATTATAATGCATAAGGCAAACAATTTCAAAGTAATGAAAGGTGACCCAGCTGCAGAAGCATGGCTCAGTTTTAACCAGTTTGTACTTCTTTAATGCTGGGTGGCTTGGTGGTAGTTGTGAAAATCAAAGCATAAATACTTGCGCTGAAGGGAGACTAAACTTTCAACATAATGCTCCACAAAAAGGTCAGAATTTCCCTGATTTTCTTCTTTAGTGTGCAAAATGAGATAGATATACCTCGATATAAACAGTTGTATTATCCTGTATCCCTAGGAACTGTCAGGGTTATTAACTCCTACATGCAAAGCTAAAATAATCCTTTTCTTTGCCAAAATAACTAACTGGTTTAAATCCTGGAGGAAAGGGTTTGCATTTCTTGAATGGGGCATGGGGGTTGGGATTGCCCGGTAGAGATCTCTCCCAGCAGTGATTGGAAGTGAACAGAAGAGGCTGTGCTGTTAGACCTGAGTGATCTCCCCACCTGCAAGGAGGCCTGCCCTTAACAATGTCCCACAAATACATGGGGGTTTTGGCTGATTTCTCCTGAATCTATCTAGGCGTGGGTTGCAAATTACGAAAGACCAAGGATGAACGCCAATTCATTGCTGGCCAGCCCTACAGGACTCAGTCCCTACCTGCGTTTTGGCTGCTTGTCCTGCCGCTTGTTTTACTATCGTCTCTGGGAGCTGTATAAGAAGGTAAGACAAAAGAGACGTGGAGAGCAGGCTGGGTTTGAGCATATATGTAGCATGATGCTGGTTCCCAGACAGTGCCAGAACGGGTACAAAAGTTCCAGTTGCCTCCCTCATGTTTGACTGTTGGGCTGAGCTTGTTGCTGTTACAGAAGAGGCTCTTGGGTGAGAAAGAGATTCTTCTGTAAATACTCTAGCAAACCTTAAATCTGCTGGTACCTGGTTCTTCAGTCTGGGCTTCTGCGTTACAAACCACATAGAGCCTTTTACTGTTAGTTTTGTGTAATTCCAGTCACTTGTCAGGGTACTGAGTGAACCAAAAACAGTGCTCTGACTTAACCACCTAGGGTTTCTGGTAAGGGGTGCTCCTTTATTGCAGTGGTCGGCAACTGACCTGGGAAATGCGTATAAATGCTTAGGTGGCTTATGGCTCAGCTGCATGAAGGCAGTCCTCCTGTGCTTGTGAATATCCTTGTTCCCTCCTCCACAGGTGAAGCGGAACAGCACGCCCCCCCTCTCTCTGTACGGACAGCTTCTGTGGAGGGAGTTTTTCTACACAGCAGCCACCAACAACCCGAAGTTCGATCGCATGGAAGGGAATCCCATCTGCATACAAATTCCCTGGGACAGGAACCCTGAAGCCTTGGCAAAGTGGGCAGAGGGCAAGACAGGCTTCCCTTGGATAGATGCAATCATGACCCAACTGAGACAAGAAGGATGGATCCACCATCTGGCTAGGCACGCAGTGGCCTGCTTCCTGACCAGGGGTGACCTCTGGATCAGCTGGGAGTCAGGAGTCAGGGTGAGTCCTGGCATTTTCAGATATTTGCAGGAGGCCAAAAGGAAAACAAAATCTCCCTGGCGTTCGCTGCAAGGATGGGCACACAGGTATGGCTTTTGCTTCATGTGTAAAAGGTGCATGGAAGAGAGGATTTGCTAGCAGGCTCTTGGCCAGCCAACAGCCTGACTTCTTTCTGCCTTCGACTCTGAGGTTCTGACAGTATCACAAGCCTTGAGTAACCATAAGTAAATGTATGTGGGACCCACTGGTAAATATGGACTAGGGTTTTGGGGGCTTTTTTGGTTTTTGGGGTTTTTTTTTTGCTAAAAATTCTCTCAGTCCATCTGTTTTCTTTGCAAGTTTAATGCCACTTTTTAACCGGACCTTTTTCCTCATTGTGTAATCCATCACCGTGCCGGTCAGGGAACGCTCCATGACTGTGAAATCTGAGTCTAGAGTCTCTCAAGGAAAGAGGTAAAAGCCCCTCCTCTTGGGCCATCTGAAGGGACAGACATCTTGAAACCTACCCAGTGTACATACTGCCCTACATAAAAAGTGGAGGCAGGAGTATCTAGTCATGAAGCTGACAAAGCAGAGCATAATTGAATGTGCTGCTTAAGGTGCAGCATCTATGCATGGATGTGAGTGAGTTATTGCTGAAACCTTTCTGCCTCTCAGTAATAGTGTGCTCTGGGACTTTCAGAGGGGTTCTTCCATCTTGCTTTGGTGCACGTTCTTCTGTGCAGCATCCTCTCCTTCCCACGGTTGGTGCTTTGCACTTGTTATGCCTGCCAGGCTAGGATCAATACCCAAAGCTTGCTGCAGCACTAGGTAGTGATTTAGTCTGTAGCTGCATGAGAGATAAGCCAGCACTTTATCAGTGTGAGCAGACCATGCCTCTGTATGTGAAAGTGTCAGGAAGTGAGATATATTGACCAGCCAACTGCCTTCAGCCAGCAGATCACCTCTTTGCTGCCGCTCTGTTCTCATAGTTCAGTGCCTGCCATTTGAAATAGCATCTTGGGTCCTACTGCCACAAAGTCCTGTCTGGGGAAGCTCTCAGTGCCTTTTTCTCCAATTGCTGCAGGTATTTGACGAACTATTACTGGATGCAGATTTCAGTGTAAACGCAGGCAGCTGGATGTGGCTTTCGTGCAGCGCATTCTTCCAACAGTTCTTCCACTGTTACTGCCCTGTGGGCTTCGGACGTCGCACAGACCCCAGTGGTGACTATGTTAAGTAAGTGATATGACTGCAGCTTCCTTGTTGCTGGATCTGTGAGCCCAAGTCAATCAGTGGCTGACAGGTGCATGGTGCTTTCTGTGCATCGTGTGTGCTACGTTGCTTTTTACTTGTGTTGCAGGAGGTATCTGCCCAAACTGAAAGGTTTCCCCTCACGATATATCTATGAACCATGGAATGCTCCAGAGTCTGTGCAGAAGGCAGCCAAGTGCATCATTGGGGTGGACTACCCCAAACCCATGGTGAACCACGCAGAGACCAGCCGACTGAACATTGAGCGCATGAAGCAGATCTACCAGCAACTGTCACGCTATCGGGGCCTCTGTAAGTACCAACAATTGCAAAAGTTTGTGTCTAATATGAGATAAAATGCTGGGAGGAAAGGTCATGATTTAAAATAGATAGCACTTGTCTCTCTGGCCAGTCCTTGCAAGAGAAAGCAGTCCCTGCCAAATCTGCTCAATTGGTTTCCAGGGAGAACTCCATTGAGCTGCTGGACAGCTAAAAGGAATAGAGTTTGATTAGTTTTGAGAGCTGCTGATAGCAAGTCACCATCCATATACCACCAGTGGTCCATTCTTCACTTTGGAAGAAAACCTAGGCAGTGCATCCTAAATAAATGTGCTGGTGGATCACAGGATGTGTCTGTGGTCAGCACTGGGTGAGCGCAGCTCTGAACTCCTGCTTTGGGATATGGATGTGCTGTTTGGTGATCACTATGGTGTTCCCATGTGAAAGGCTTGTCCCACCCCAGGTGTGTTTTGTTTCTTAATATAATATCCTCTTGCTGTTTTCTAGGTTTACTGGCATCAGTCCCTTCATGTGTGGAAGATCTTAGTGGCCCGGTCACAGACACGGCTTCAGGGCAGGGCTGCAGCACCAGTACAGGTGAGTTGGAGTTATTTGTGTGCTTTTGAGTTTCCTGTTGACTTATAAGTTACAGGCAGGAGAAGATGATCCTTTTCTAATAGGAAGAGGGTGTATTGCTAGGAAAATATAGATCACATTCACATTCCTTTCAACTTTCTTCAGAAGTCCCCAGTGAGCCTTCATTTCTAAAAGGGCTGAAGAATAAGAGTTCATTAAAGTTACTCTTTTACTGCCTGTATGGGATCATATGCAGCCACTTAAGGGAGAAGTGCAGATCACTGTAGGGCTAATCAGGTAAAATTAAGCTGTCCTCTGTCAAAGAAGGATGCTTTTATGTTTGTTCTGGGGGACTTCATTCTGCTTTTAACAAAGCATTTTTTTAAAAGTTTCCAGGGAGCCTATGGCAACACAACTCTGTGCTTGTGGGCTGCAGAGTCTTCTTTCTCCCAGCCCTGTAGCAGATTAGGCCAGGGTGTATGTGTGAGGCCACCTAAAGGCAGGGGAAGTGTTGCAATGACTCTTCTTCCTCTGCAGCGGTGAGGCTGTCGCAAGCAGACCAGGCTTCTCCAAAACGCAAACATGAGGGAGCAGAAGAGCCATGCACTGAAGAACTGTACAAACGAGCTAAAGTGACAGGTCTCCCTGCTTCAGAGATCCCTGGCAAGAGTTTATGATTGTGAGTAGTTCCTAGTGTGATCTGGCTTAAACTACCTGGTTTGGAAGCTAACAAGGCTTAATCTTATTTACTTGCTGCATTGTAATGAACAAAGTGGACTTCTTGTGGAGGGATGTGGCTCCTAACTGTATTTCCATAACCCTATAATTTGCCCATTGGTTGTTTTGCATGATAAGCTGTTAGCTCAGTTGTCCAGCGGAGAGCAGTGCCCTGCTGCTGGAGCAGGCATGGAGCACAGTTGTGGGTTTGCTCTGGCGAAGCTGCTTCTCCTTCCACAGAGTGGGTTCGCAGCCAGGTTTGCCCGTGTGGTGAGGATATGGGCTAGAGGAGGGGAACAATCAGGTTCAGTCATCTGCCTCCAATGCTCCAGATCCCAGGAGGGAAAGAGCTGGTCACATGTTTTGGCAATTTTTCAGTATGAGAGAGGAGGTCAAGGCAAATTGTGTCTTCTGCTTTCTCCTACAGCCAGCGACGAGCACCCTACCAGTGAAGAGGGAGAGTGCTGAAGAGGTGACCAGAAGAGTAGGACTGCTGCCACAGAGGGACTGGAACTTGTGATCTGCAACAGAAAATCTGGGGTCACATAGAACTGTGTAATTCCAGTAGCTGCCGCAGAAGGGCACTGCATTACATATGCTTGAGAATATTTGGCTTTCTGACCTCCAAAGAGCCAAATATGTCTCTTCTCAGCCATGCCCCAAATCTGCCCACATTTAAGGGAGCAAGAGCCTTCTGTCAACTTGTTCACTCGCAGGTGTATCTTTATTTTCTGACCGTGGTTCAGTGCATGTGACTTGATGCATTGATGTAGGAATCAGCATCTGCGTGTCTCACAAATAGTGAACATTCATTCTCATCAATACTACTAGGCAGTGATGTGTGCTGATTAATTCAAATTATAGTAGGTCTTGAGAAGGAAACTGCTACAATGTGAAAAATAGGGTACCCATCCTACGAGAGAACAAGGAAAACTTGATATTTCTTTGGTTAGGCTGGGCTGACGTCGGAATGCTTTCTGAGTAAATCAAGGTAGTGCTTCTATAGGATGGAAACAAAATGAAGGTCAACTGTAGCACAGGAACAGATACAAACTTACACTTAAAAGGCACTTAAAACTTTCCTGCAAAAGAACCTTGCTGCTGCAGGGTGAGCCATAGTGCTGTTGCCTGGAATGGGCAGCTTCGGAGGTGTTTGACATCTGGGGAAGAGGCACTCTGAGAGAAAAGGAATTCTGCAGAGAATAAGATCATGCCTTGATATGAACGAAGCAGTGTCTCAGATCAGGTGTGGTCCAAATAATAAGGGAGCTACACCTGAGCCCAGCACTCTACAGCATTTCCTTCCCTGAATGAGTACTCTCTCAAATGAAGTGACCTATGTCTGGTGTGTAGACTGTGGAGTGCCTCATACTGATAGAGGATGTATTACACATCAGCTCCTTGAAGTGAGTCTTCCTCAAGTCAGAGTCCAGTGTCCATTCTGTGTGCCCATTCTGTTTGCTCTTTTCTGTATTGGCATCTGTGTTTTGAGTTTCTACGCAGTATACTCCTGTACCTCTTGCCCTGCACGCTGCTCCTCCTTGCCATTTGCATTCACGCTGGTGCTTTGTAGCCTAGTGGAACGACTGTGTAGCTGTCCTGGCTCTTAACCATACACTCCTTGCCCAGTCCTCTTACATGTCACTCCAGCACAGTGCTGGCAGAGCACCTCTGCCTGTCACCGAAAGCACAAGGGAGGGTAGTACTGCAGAAGATTCTCTCTTGTGGCTGTTTTCAAGAGGGATTAGGCTGAGTAGCTAGTCCTGTGCAATGGGCTGCTGTTGGCACAGTTTTCATTTGCTGTCCAAAACCTTTCATCCATGCCTGGCACAGATAGTGTGGGGCTATATGTGAGCTTATGCAACTACCAGCTTGGGGAGTATAGGAGTTGTCTCCCATTCTGACTGGGATAATCAGATTCAGTTTCGAAGCCCGTGTTTGAACCCAGAGCAATAGGGCTGCGAATTGAAACTGACTCAAATGTATCTGAGAAACCTGAAATGGTTGAATTGAATCTGTGAGTAAATTTATTGAATAGCTGAATAACCTTTCCTTCCCACTCCCTAAGGCATTGACCCTGTATTCTTTTTCCCAAGGGAATCCATTGGGCAGACTGAACAAGTAAACAAAGAGTCGCTCTTCCTAACCTTACTTTCTTCTAGACTACTATTCATAGCCTGCCTGGTGGATAGCCCTGTCATCAGCAGGTTTTGTCCCTTTCAGTCTGACCCAGATATTACTCCTACTGTCTTGGGGGTAGAAAGGTATAAAGAAAAAGAGATACTCCCCCACCCCCATCTTCTGCTGCAGAGAGAAGAAAGGGGAAAGACATGAACTTTGTGCACTTAGGTTACAGAAGTTGTGACTTTTGTCATTTGGAGAGTTTCTTGCTTAGGCAATGGTCTGTAAATACAACTTTTTATAAATGTCTTTAACCCCCTCTTTCCTGTCATCCAAATTATTTCGCATGGTAAGTGGCATTTTGGGGGCTGGATCTGTGGGGTAAGGAGTCAAAGGAAGGGGAGGCCACATCTCCTAAGTGATCTCTTAGAAGGCTTTGTCGGGGAGGAGGAAATCACATTTGCAAGGTTTCTGTCAGCACCTGGAATATGGATGGTGGCATTTGGAAGAGCTGCACCTTGGATAGTAGCACTGGGAAGGACACAGACACACCAGGCCAGCCAAAGATAAGGGAAAAACTTCCTGCAAGCAACCTGTTATGTAGGCTCGGATTCATCCACTCTGGCATCTTTTCCCAGCTGAAATGATAAAGGTGGGTAAAACTGTGATGAGTAGGGGATGATTGTTCACTGTTTTCAGTAATATTTAAAATTGGACATGTTTGGTTAAGGTTAAAGTACAAGATGGTAGAATGAGCAAGGCTGCACCTTCCTTAGTTTTTGTGGCAAGTTCTTCCTTGGTTATGGGTGCTGACAGTTTGACTGAGTTCAAAAGAACTTGACCAGTTCATGGAGAAAGAAAAAGCGGTCAGTAACCCTTAGTGAAGATACCATCTTTGTTTCAGGAAGCAGCAGAGGACTGCTGGAGGCTGACACAAAGGAAGCAGCATGAAATGGATGCCAGATTGGCGGCACTTTGTTTCCTGGGATAATGAGTGTTTCCTGTGTCTCAGGGCTAGGTGGCAATATGTGACTGACGTAGGCACCCCTAATGCAGGCATAGTGTGAGCTCATTCCTTGGGTAGAGGGAGCAGTTGCCTTTTGATGCTCTGAAAGTAGTGGCTTTTCGGATGCTCCCCAGGGTGGCATGAAGGCTCTTTTCAGCTGAGGTTGGGCACTGGGGCAGAGGAGTCCTATAGAGCTATGAACAGTTGTTCAAGATGGGTCTCCTTCAGTGACTGAGCCTTGGCTGTTGCAGTTCTCCAGCTAAGTCATGAACTGATATTAAGTACATCAGACTTGGTAGTCTAGTAACTAGCTAGGATGCAGCTGAAGTCAAGTTCTTGTGTGTTATGCCGTCCTCGGTGCTCCTGTGTAGAGCCAGTTACTAGAAGCTTTCTTTATCTTGGGAGAATTAAATGATGTACATTTCTTTCCTAGTACCTAGCAAGATTCAGGAGGTGCATGTAGCCATGCAGTTCCCTGTCCACGTTCAGCAGTGGGGCTGATGCAGGACAGCAGTGCCTGTGCCTCACATGTTCAGATAGCACCAGTCTGAACACCAGCTAAGCGAATATTGCAAACAAGCTAACCAAACCAAGACACAGTTATAATTCTGTGTAAATAAGCATTTAAAATTTGGTGTCTCATTTCCTTAGCTAGTTTGAAACAAAAACATGTTAGAAGATGCAGATTAGAGTGTTTCACAGAGTGCTACTGGAGAAGCTGCTGCCTGAGCATTCTCACACCATTCGAGGAATCGCACAGGTACCACCTGAGGCTTTTAACTACTCGGACCAGGGGCCTTTGCAGCAGGCAGCTCTGGTGAGCTGACAAAGACACTTTTGGACCCCTTGCTAATGCACACACACACCCCATTCTCAGGCCAATTCCTCCTTCAGGCTCAAACTTACATTTCCTGTAGCAGAGTCTCAGGTGTCAGATTTATAAATAATTTAATGCAATGGTACAGCAGCAGGTCGACTCGAGCTGGGTGCCTGTGGGGAGGGATCCCAAAGAAAGAAATACCTGGACAGTTATATCCTTATGACTCATGCACCTGCCCCTCACATGCTCTCTTACTTTAGCTAAACAACTAATACCTCTCAACAGGAGGTACTGGAGCATGTCTGGTCTACAAGGTGGGCAATGTGTACAGTGCACTGGTTAACTGAGGGGGTGTGCAGTCAAGGCTCATGGTATTGCTGAATTGTTCTCATTTTCAGTGAGGACCTTGTGGTCTTGAAAAAGTAATACTTCAGTGCTTGGAGTGGCCTGCTCATGACAAAAACCTTTTTGAAAACAGCAGCCTATGTCTTAGAAGATGAGGAGCCAGGATGACAGCAAACTCAGTCCAGCTTTCTCTATGCAGAGTGTAATAATATTAATTAAACCTGGAGAGGTTGGGTTTGAGGCTCCTTCTCTGTGCTGGCCAGAATATCTGTTTTCCCTGTCAAAGGAATGATGGTGATGTTCCTCAGGGTTGAAAATGGCTAACCTTAGATTTCTAGCAGAGACTGACTGCCTGCTCCATGTGCTGGGGCTTGAGAAAATGTCCTTCCCCCATGTGTCTTCTGTCTGCACAAGGAAGAAGCTGGAGTGGCTTCAGGAGTGACTGGCTGAAAGGTCTGAAAGTAGAAAACACACCTGGATATGAAGAGATGGGAGTCAAGAGATGTGATCATTGTGACAGAGGGAGAAAGAGCAGTAAGAAGGATGGCTGATCCAAAGAGTAGAGTGCTGGTCTGGTATCTAGTAGGGGATCAGATGGTTCAGCTGGAGGAGAGGAGCAGGAAAACTTCTCTCAGCACATAACCTTTCCTCAGGTTTCATTTAGGGCTTACAGAAGTTGGCTTGAAGTGAACCTGATGGTCAGTTGGACAAATTGAAAGCAACAAAGTCAGCAGATGCCTTGTCATCAGAGATGCTGGCTAGGATGGAAATATAGTCTCTTATTTTGCAGGAGATGTGCATGCAGTCTCCCAGGGGCCTTGGGCTCTACTGTGCATCTAAGGAACAGATATGACCTAGTGCAGCCAGAAAGGCCAAAGTGGGTCTCCTGCCAGGCCAGCCTGAGCCAGGGCTGGGATGAAAGGCCTGGTGGCCTGAGGGGTGAGCTTTTGGTGCTTGGTGTCCAAGAAGGTGAGATCTGCTGGTGGTGATCTGGCTGTGGGACGAGGCAGCACCCTTACCTTCTGCCCCAGGTCAGAGGCCAAATGACAACCATGCTGCAGAAGAATCATTTTGTAGGTAGGGTTTATGTTTTGAGATGGAGCAATGTCAACAGTCCCCTGAAACTCCCTGAATGAATGCTGGTGAGTCTCTTGGGTCCAGCACCAGTCTGTGCATCCAAATGGTGAAGGGGACACCCCTCAGGAGGCTGCCCCAGGGGTACCTGCACATGGTGATCCTGTGGGCGTGTATTTGTCTCCACACTGGCCCAGGAGTAACATCTCTTTCCAGTTTGGCAGGAGACCAAGATTCCTGAGAGAGAGAGCAGGACTGTATGCCTCGGAGGGCTCTACTTGTTCTTCTCTGGAGGAGCAGCTGACATCCTGGGTCTTGGCCAAGAACTAATACCATTGTCTCAATGGCAGTCAGCTCTGTGGTTTGAGAAACCCTGAGGGGACTGGCTGTATCTTTAAAGTTTGAACTGCTAAAGCAGTGCCACCCATGCCGTCCAGGACTGTCACAGACAGTAAATGGGAGCAGAGTGGGCATGCAGAGAACAGAAAGAGTTCTGTTCAGGTACAGAAGTAACCTTGGGACTTAAAAAACTGATGCTGTCCCCTTCTGTGCATAGCACAACCTGGACGGTTTTCTGCAGTAGCCTGCAATGCATGGGGAGGAGAGGCAGGAGAGAGAAACTTGCTCAGGCTGGTGAGGAAGGGTAGAAGCAATGAGCACTCACTCAAGATTAGATGCTCCCTGGGACACAGCAGAGTGGGTCTGCCCCTTCTGAAGAGAGACTTGCAACCTCAAGTTGCATTTTTTTCCCCTCTTTGTGCCTGTGGAAACTGTGTGTATGCTGGTTTTTTAATTCCCTTGGCGATACTTGCAACCCTGGCTAGATTCAACAGGGACAGGATTTGTGCTGGACCTGTTACTACCCGGGTACTGCAAACCTGCCATGGGCAGGAAAGCACAGCCTGGTTTTAGAAGCTGCTCCTGCTGCCTCCAGACGTGTCCCCGCTGATGAGGAGCCCCTTGCAAGTGGTCCTCTGTGTCCAGCCCCTCACCCTGGGCTGCTCCCTGTCCGCTCGGTCAGTCGCCCTGCTCCTGGGGTTGCTTCTCCAGGCCTGGGGGAGACCCCGGCTGCCTCCCTCACCGGGGGGCTCTGGGGCTGCCGCCACCACCTGCGGCGTATCTGTCCGTGGGGGCGCCGCTTCCAGCTGCGGGTACATCCTTCGGGGCCGGTCCAGCTGCAGGCACATTTGCCCCGCCGGGGCCGGCGTTTTCCAAGGCCCGGGCGGAGCGGCACGGGTGGGAGTGCGAGGTGTCCCTTCCAGTCTGTGCCGCACTGTCCTGCAGCTGCCGCCGGGCCGCAGGATGGAGCATCCGGCCGCTACCCTCCGCTCCCTCCGCCCCGGACGCCAGGTGAATGTCCCTCCCCGCCGCACCTACCAGCATCCCCCTCCCTCCATCCTCCTTTCGCCTCCTTTCCCCTGCCTCCCTCCTCTTGCCCGCCCCTCCTGCATGGAGAGCAGCCACAGAATGCGGAGCGAGAAAAGGAAGCCGCATCCCCGCCCTCCTCCCCCTTCTGAGGGCTGCCACGCTCGCCTCGCCCACCCAATTTCAGGTACGCCGCCCTCCCACCCCAACCCCCGCGGCTGCCCCCTGCCCCTGCTCGCGACAGCGTCCCCATCTGCTGCACCCCCCGCCCCGCAGTCCGCCGCGCCGGGCCCCCGCCTCCTCCAGTGCTCTACCCTCCCGCGACATCCCTCGACCCCCCATCCCAACCATCCCTTCTTTTCCCCACCCCAGCCACCGCTGAACCCCCACCGCAGACATCACCCCAGCACCCCCATGGCTGCTTAGCCCACCCACCTAAGCCATGTTGGCCCTCACCCCATACATGCACCACTGCAGCTCCCCAGCCCCCTGCTTGGCCTCGTGTCCCCTCCACACTCCACCCCCCGACCCCCTTACCTGCCTTATCTCCTCTTCAAACACCTCTTCATCTCTCTCCCCACCCCCAGGAAAGCCGTTTTCTAGCCCTTTCCTGGAAATCCCAGATGCTCCTGCTTCCTTCCCACCCCTGTGAAACAGGAACTCCAAGTGAGATGGTGGGAGAGTGCCAGAATTGATCCTCTTAGTAATA